ACAATACCAGACACAAATCAAAGAGCTTATTTGGCGCCAATATAACCGCAAGTTTTTTTTAAGGGATTTATTATTATTTAAACATTTTAACATTTATCCTGAATTATATCCAATAATGTGGTACTTCTGTGAGATCTGAATAGATGCACACTTACTTTATTTATTTCAACATTTTGTTTTTGAAAATTTTATGTCCTCCAAAAAATAAGATGAAAAAAAAAAAGGAAAATGATTATTTTACAGACAAAAGTCAGATAAATTTGAAATTGAGAATAAATATAAGACAAAAATACATTGACTAATGTTGACCTGATAAAAAAACAACAATATATTAATTGATAATATTGATAGTTATAAATATGACGAATATTTTATTTTTTTTAATGAAAAATATACAATAATGGTTACTGTTTATTTTATTTTTCATTATGTTAGAATTGAAGTAAAAACAAATTTAGCTAGATGACGTCTATCGTTTGCATCAGTGTATTGAAATAATGTATAACTAGTTTCGACAGATCCGACCCCAGAGGCAGTGCTACTTCTCGGGAATTGAGTTTGGTTCGAGTCAATTCCCATTTCGGCTGGAAGATAGGTCCGTATGCGTCGTTGCACGGTTTCATACCCATCCAATTTTGAAAGCGTACCTCTTCTTGGCACTGGGCGGACAGTGGTTGCAAATACATATAAAATACTTACCACATCTTTCATATCGTGCACCTTTGTTAAATGCTTTGTGGATATATCGAATGTCAATTCCCGATCTACAGCCCTGGGGCCAACGGCGATCGGTTGACTTTGAGTAGGATCGTTACCCGACTCCAGTTCCTTGAACTCAAAGCCCTAAGAGAATATCTTCAATAGTTTTAAGAATGTGTTGGACCTCCCCGAGTGATACGTCATTGGGTGCAGAACGCTCGGGTATAACGTCGGGAACCGCCTGTTTCAATTTGGTGGTCGTTTTCCACGAGAACTTGATATTTTGTGATTCAAATAGAGTTTATTAGTAAAAAAAAAAACGAAAAATGAACAATTATAGAAAAAAGAGAGAGCATTAAAGAGATATTGTAGCAAAAAGATGATGAATAATTTTTTGTGTGTGTGTGTGTGTGTATTAATTTGGGAACCGCCTGTTCAAGACCGCCTATTCATACAGTTCAAGTACATCCGTATCGTTGGATCTCAACTATCGATTTAAAAACTTGACCATTGGATCAAACGGTTCCAGTTCTGAGCCTGAATCGACCCAACTCAGACCCCAAAAAAAGGATCCTGGCCGTTGGATATCAATGGTCAAAACGATCCAACGATAAGATTTTTACGGTTCCGGTGTGACCTGGCTCGGCCTGGTACAAGAAAAACAATTCAATGTTTTTGAAAATTTAAATTTTTGAAAAATACGAAATAATCCACTAGGATGCCGGGCCGGTTCTGGATGGAACGAAACCTGCAGTTTCCTGGGTAAAACTATGACGAAATTTTAAACTAATCCCAAGATATTAAAGATATTGCATTCTTACAAGGAGAGGGATTTTATTTGCATGAATACCTAAAAAAATACATTTATTATGGATGAATAAAAAATATCAGTTACCAAAGTAACAACTTCCCTACAATCACGCCATTAGATTATTGAACTGAAAAAAAAAAAAAAAAATAATAATATATTGTCAATCTAGTGTACAATTAGGTTGAAAAAAAAAGTCTATATTTCCTACTATTTATGAAGACGTTTATATAAATGGAAAGGAATCTGAAATCTACAGAACATACACGATCACAAAAATCATTCATCTTGATGCTATAAACGCCCATCGAAAAAATATACATAATATATACAGAAGATATATAGAAAATTTATAAGTCCGAAAAATATACGATATAAACCTGGTAATTTTAATTTTTCGTAATCCTTTTTTGTTTACTTTTTGTGTTATTTACATCTCGTGTTTTTTCTATATATTTATAGTATAATTTATGGTTTAATATATGCAAAATACACGATCAGACTTATATACAGAAAATATACTCATTATATACAGACGATGTAAATACAAAAACACAAGATAAATCAATCTTGTCATTATATACAGAAAACACATTAGACTGTCGATTGTGCTTACGAGAATATATACATAAAGATTTTTCTCTTCTTCATACAGAAAATACATTAGACTGTCGATTGTGCTTACGAGAATATATAAATAAAGATTTTTCTTTTCTTCACGGCCTCGAGTGTTTTGACCTCGCTCAGCCTCTTCGTCTTCTGCACGGCCGATTTTTGGATCGACGGTTTTTTTCAGCGGTCGTGCCGATTTTCTTCAGAAGAATCGAGGTTTTCGCGGAGGCCGGAATCTTGTACGAGCTCTTGACCTTGGCGATCTTTTTCGATCTGACGAGCCTCTTCAATTGGACGGACAGGATTTTCTGGAAGTTTGTTGGGAGCGATTTCACATAGTTATCCTACACGAATTTTGCGATCGCCAGCTGGCTCGAGCCGGTTTGGCCCTTCATCGTGGTGATTGCTTCGCTTATCATCTAAGTCGTTGGTCGTTGTCTTCCACTGGCTGGCTCGAGCCAGTTTGGTCCTCTCATCTAAGGCGTTGGTCGCCGTCTTCCACCGATCAGGAAAAAAAAAATAGAGTGAGGGAGAGAGAAGAAGAGATATGGGGAGAGAAAGAGAGTGTGTGTGTCGTGGAATGTTGGTTTGGAAGGTAATAAGTCTACCTTTAATTACGCTGAATATTAATTGTATATTTAAAGTAATCATTTTTTTATAAATCTGGTAATTTTGTAATTAATTTTATAAATCTAGCAATTTTGCAATAAAATATGATATGTCTTATATAAGGTGTAATTATCTCTAAAACTATGTGTCGATTCAAGGCCTGTGGTCAACGATTTGGGCCGTTTCCAAAACCATGGACTTCCGGGCTAGGCCAGTTTGGGCCGAAATGTGGCCATGTCTAATATGATCTTAATAACTAAATTCTCGTGATCTGAATTGTTAACCATTTGGTCCAATGTTAAAATAGTGCTAGCGCCTGAGCAAGCTAAGATATAATAAGCCAATATTTTTATAGTATTGGAATTTATAAGCTTTATGATAGCCGATTTATTAGTATATTGATATTGTCCGTTATGAGCTCGAACCCACTAATATTTATTTTTGTGATCACTGTTGGCAATAAGTATATGTATTTGTTTTATGGAGAATGACAAAGAACGACACAAACGAAGAATGGTGACGAATTTACTAGATCAAACAACGAACACAAACTACGAACACGATCCTTGAACAAACTACAATAAAGAAATCAAATAAATTAACAAAGTCAAGACACGAAACACACACTTTTTGTTAGATGAAATTGACACTGATTAATGTCCATCTTCAACAAACATTTTTATCTTGTGAATAGTAATACATTAAATACACAAGATTTTAGTGAACTTGCTAATGTTTAAAACTCTCAATAAATGAAGAAAGAATAATGAACACAAGATGAACACGACCTATCTTATGTTTATCTCATTCTTATCTTTATGTTAGTGTCTCTAATTTTAATGAATTTCAAGTCATAAGGGTATATATGTAGCAAGACATCACAAGTGTTTTAAGGGTCCAAAGATAACTTTTTTGACGTACCCTGACTAGGACAGACTCACCCAGAGATCAATAGACAACTCATAGACATCAGGGGGTCCGACCTGTTGCGTGTCTTGATAAACGCGCGGAGTCTCTGAAAGATGAAAAATGGTCGTGACCGCCAAACAGTTGTCGTGGACCATTGTGGGCCATGATATAGCCAGCTACGTGTCCGCGTGCCGCGCATCATATGATTATGTCTGAGCTCCAAAAATTTATCAATTGAGTTCTACTAGTCCCCAACAACCTTATTTGAATTCTAACATGCCTAATGTATGACTATTATTCGCTTGTCTTGCCCAAGCATTCTTCAAAGAGTATATATGAATTCCACAATCTTTGAGTTACTTACATTCAATTTTTACTTCAAACTTATATTTTTTCACTTATACAATTTAAAATTAATCTCTCATTCACCTTAAAAAAATTTTGAGAATTTTTGAAGTCTTTCATATATGAAAGTGAAACCATAAAATAGGTATGAAACCATTTTTTTTTTTTTTCTCATACTCGCACCAAAAAATCTCACGCAGATGGAGATATGTCCAGACTTATAAACTTATAACCAATCCTACATCTAAAAGTATATTTTTGTATATTTTCCTTCAAACGAAGTTCTAACGATTCCCTGATTCTTTGGCCCGACCCAACTCCTTGGACTCTCTCACTTAATTGATGACTCATTTACAAGCCAACTACATGTTTGTAATTATTTGCGAGAATTTTGATCGACTAATTTTATTAGCATAATTACGGATTTGCTATCAAATAATTAAGATAAAGTTTTGCTGTGATACCATCAGATGACATGACTAATGGAGTCATCCACACTAATTCACAAATAGTTTATTAACACGTGTCTTACAATAAATATATTTTTAGACAGGCAAAAATACATTAAGAGCATCTCCAATGTGGCTTTTGACATTATAAAAATTCATCCATATCATCAACTTTTGAAAGTGTGTTACAAATTTATTCTCCAATGCATCTAGTCATGAACTCTTTCATGATGAGATGGATAGCATTTAATGTTAACAATGTTGAATACACTTTCTAATATTTAACACCATGTTAAACATGATGACTAATCAATTCACTTCATATTTGATTTAATTTTTTATTGTTCTTGTATTAATGATTATTTTAATTGGTCCACCTATACAAATAACTTTTTATGAAATTGATGCATTGGAGATACTAGTTTGATTCAAATTTCTACTCTTTGAACATTATTCCTACATGGATTAACATTACAATCATTGATTGACATGTGTTAAAAATCATTACCTTTCAAAGCTATAACATTGGAGATGCTCTAAATAATGAATGACTCCATAAGAAAGTCATTTCTGGTAGTCTTGATTGTTGCATAAGATTACTTCAATCATAATAAATAATAATGGCATCAATGCAAAATCAAATTTTGCTCTGCAGTTGACCGATAAACGGTTTCTAACAGAAAGTTAAGGGTGCCGCTAAATCATTATTAAGATACATGCTCGCCCAAATCATCACCTTTGGATACAGGTACTCTTTAAAACTTTGATAAACGCATCAAAAATAAATGAATCCACGTTTGAAAGATGACTAGAAAAGGCAATTTAAAATTTCCCATTGAAAAGAAGACTGGTTTAGATGCCATGAAGCTTTCACAGATGCCAAGCCCATTGGACGCACACAATCCTATATGGTTTACAAGTTACAACCGAAACTTCTATGTTTTACAAAACACAATTTAATTATAAACCTCAACCACAAACTCCGAATAAACAAAAACTGGTGACAAACAACAATAAGGGTTTCCAACAAACCATTCCTTTAAGTCTGCTCTTCTCCGTCTCCAGCTCTTTCTTCAGCAGCAGCTGCCATCAACTCATCAAATTTTTCGGTCTTTCCCAGAACTATCTCAATCTAATCCATAAAAGGCAGTATAATTTAGCGAAAATTCCATAGGAAGATTCAAGATGAGCAAGCAGTAAAGTGATTGCACTTTGTCATCTAAACTCTAGCTGTTAACACTCCATCATCTTCAATGTTACCGATGACTGATCTACACTTAATCACTTCGGTTTAAAAGGTTTATAATTTTATACACACATACATAATCATCTCCTCTTAGATTCAATTTTCTTGCCAACAAAAGAAAATAGGTAAAATCACAGAAATCTCCTCTTACAAGGAAGCATCTAGAAGTCCTAAGGTACTAAAATAGGCATGAAAAGGCTTCACAACATATCAACTGTGTAGAAGACACGAATCATAACAGAAATGTCTAACTGCAAATTGGGCCACCCCATGAAATCACTGACATCAAACCCAAGTTACAAACTTACTTTGGCTTTTGAGATAGGTCGCCCCCTTGATTCATCTCTGATTTCAACAGTGGATGTCGTGATCTCTGCAAATCACAGACATTCTTATTAATGTATAAAGAATATACCAACTTATAAATAAGATAATAACATCATGTACAGGAAAGGCATAAGTTGCTGAGAGCCTTACTCTTTTCCACTGCAAATCCATTATTCTTCAAGATCTCGGCAACACTCACAACAGTGGAAATTGCTGCATATGCAGAAAAATAGTTACAATCAATAGCAATACGAATCTAAATTATACTGAAGCACGCTACAAAACTGGAAATTAATAAATTAATCAAATGAGCAAAAAGTAGAACTTAATTGAAAATGTCAGTTGAAAGTCGTGGGCAAATTATTAGGAAAAAGAGCAAAAATTCCCCAAATTTTGGGGAAAATATCATTTAAGGCCTCATGCCTTATTTCTGAATATCTTTGAACGCACTCCTTATCTGATATCATATTTCTAAATGTTTATACGAAATGGTTGGAACATCGGGACAACGTAAAAGCAAAAGTAAAACAACAAAGATACAAACATGTAAACAACAAGAAGCATGTGAATAAAAGTTTACAGAAAAACAAAAAACTATAAAAAAATAAAAATAAAAATTTAGGTCAATATCCAAGTCTCATATTTCACAAAAATGACTTTTCACCTAAAAATAGGGTACAATAGAGAATTTTTCCCAGACGATTGTTCACTGAAGCTTCATATGATATTTAAAGTCGTTTACGTGTTAAACAAGCTTCTGTAAATATACTTGATGATTAACAGAACTAGACATGGCAAACAAACTCAGTTCCTTGCTTTTAAAACATATTCTCTATTTCTCTTCACTCAATATCTTCTCGAGCCAATAGGAACAGTGAGTTGGAAATAACCACTTGCTTTTACCTTTTACAAAATGTATTTACTTACACAAACTTTGACGAAAATAAGCTTAGGAACTAGTAATCGCTTTAACAAGAAATTATGAGAAGATACAAGACCTAGATCACTAATTTAAGGGGAACTCACAACACACAGCATACACATTAAATTCAGCTGGCCTCCACAAAGTCAAACTAACCTTATAAGTTAAATTCCCAAAAGACTGAATTACGGATGTGTGTAACAATTAGCCTTGATGGCATAACAGATTTATCTCTCCAGAATACAAATGAAAAACTGAAAGCCCCAACCCATGTAAAGTTGCAAGCCCTATTTTTAGGTTTTGTAACCCCTAAACTGGTTAAGTATGTTTTTGTACTCTCCCTTTATAACTACATTCATTAGCAACACCTCCATATTTGAAGGTCTATAAAATTTCAATTCGGATGAACTGAGAGTTATCATTTAGTGAAAAAATCTACCAAACATTCCAGAATTATAGCTCAACTAGCTACATAGATATGCAAATGTGAATCATCTTAAGACAAATGCCTCTGCACATAAATTGATCTTGAGTAAATATGCAGAAGTTGAAATGCTACACATCACTGGCTGAAAATTATCGACATTAACCTAGCCAACGAACCAAATACCACTAAAACAGCCAACAAGAAATAGCTATATCGACCTAACAAACAACAGATGTGAGATTGCTCGAACTTAAACCTCAGGACAAGACAAAGTATATTCGAGCACATTTCAAGTACACTTGTTAAAAACTAAAATGAAAACCAGATGGCGAGAAATACCCATTCCCAGGGCAGAAAGCTCCACCTCACTGTGCTGCTGCATGTACCTCTGCACATGTTCAACAATCAACAGTTCAATCCCAGATCCAGATAACCATAAGGTACAAACCTCGGATTGTTGTTATATTCATTTTCACCAATAATAAATTCGAGCATAAAAGGGCGAGGAAATGAAATCAGGCGATACCTTGGAGAGATTGACGTAGAAAAAAAGAGGCTTTTTGGTGTTGGAGACTTGGATTCGGTTCTTCTTCTGAGAATCCCCAGCGATGTTGATGTTGGTGACTCCCTCTGTGATTTCCTCCATCTTTATCAGTTGGATTTACACAAAAGATATTAAGTTTTTACCTTTGGCGCACCTAATATGGTGAGATTATGCAGAGAAACAAGAAGATATATAGAACGTGTGTTTTATCAGGCTAACACCGTTGAGGATCGTAGAGGTGAAGAGAGGGTTTCGGCCTTGTTTCTCACGTTGTACTTTTGTTTTCCGTTTATGCCCCTTGCCTAGGGTTCCATTTTACTATTTAAACAAATTAATATTTTTTATTTTTTCATTTTGGTTAGAACTTGAACTATTTGTTCAAATATCAAATATCAATAGTCATCACAAATTCACAATTGCCTTTGTAAATGAACATTGGACATGTTTGTGGTTCTTTATAAAATAAAAGTGTAACTGAGTTTTGTTGCAAAAGAGTCGAGCAAGGTTAGAGCATATATTTTGTAACCTTCGGTTTCAAGTGTATGTGTAAATAACTAAATACTCCGAACTTAAGCTAAATTCGATTCAAAATTAAGAAAAATTAAAAATTCTTTAAACTTGAATCGATCTCAAACCTATAAAATTCAAATTGATCTCGAATATTTGTATAATATGGGCAAGTCGAGTTAAGCCTTACCACACATGGCTCATCAAGTTTGAGCTCAAGCACAACAACAAAAAAAAAAAAAAAGAAAGGAAAAAAGATGACACTATTCAACTTGACTCATTGCAGCTTTAGTTTTAAACATTAGATAAATAGAGAAATGCTATGGAGCCAATGGTTGGTTCTTTTATGGAGTCAACCACCAATGTTATAGTGCCACGTAGGCCAACCATTGGCTCCATAGCATTTTTGTAGATAAATATTGTATTACACAGAATTTATCAGTTTCGTGGCTCAATATATGCATTAAATAAACTTTAATAATGAATTTTGTCTTTTGGATGTTTTTTAATGTGATTTCAAGTTTGTTCATGTGAGATAGGAAATAATTTCCGACAAAATTAACCCCTCGATAAAAAGATCAAATTGTTGTATTAGTTTGCATATATTATAATAAGAAGAAGTTGGAATATCACTTGTGAGTTGTCCCGCATTGATTTGATAGGGTGAATGAGCCTAGTGACTACTCCTCCCATCACTAATTGGTTTTGGGATTGAACCTCACCAAGGTGCAACTAGGCTCACCCTCTTATGGTGCACTTCACTGTGTGGAACCGCACCCCTGATGATACACCGATTATCAAAATTTGACAGAAGTTTTAAATTGTTTATGTTCTTATCGTTCTATTTAATGCTTTGCAAACTAGCCCATCCAACAGAGGCTTGAACTCTCAACATACTCACAAAATCAATCGTAATTGATAATCAAACACTTTAAATTGAACCCAACACTCAGAGATATATATGTTGATAATGCTTTGCAAACTAGCCCATCCAACAGAGGCTTGAACTCTCAACATACTCACAAAATCAATCGTGATTGATAATCAAACACTTTATTGAACCCAACACTCAGAGATATATATGTTGAGAAATTTACATTATGAGAAAACCAATATCTAGTCTATGTAGTTGGTCGGATATCTAGCAGGCTTTTGGGAATGTTGCATTCTTATGTGGTGGAACGGTCTAATTTTTAGGTTTATTTTTCTTAGTGTGTTGTTAAATGGACCGATTTTGGGTAAACTTATTTATTTTATTTTGAATTGTCTTACTTTATGCCTTTCAATGTTGAGCCTCGGTGATTCCAAGTCGATTGAAGATTTGTTGATGTGGGACACATAATTTAGAGTTACGGTCTTGTTTTGTCCTTTGTAATTCCCAATTTGTCAATACTTTCAACTTATCTTTTTTGAGGTCGTAGTCTATTCTCGTTATTAGACATCGTGATGTATTGATTTGATTGTATATTGATTATATTACGTTGTTTGTTGATTTGTTTGTCTTCTCTAAAAAAAAGGAATAAAATGTGAGTTCGTGATAAAGTACGGACTAGGCTCCTCTTATTCCGATCCACTTCATGGAATGAAATAATGAGTCCGGGAAATCGGTCTAGGTGACTCGAAAAAACCACTCGAGGATACACCTAGATAATAATCGTCCAAAAATCTCATTTGGAAAAAAGTAGCTCACGAGAAAAAAATGGTTGAATAAAATGAGTAAGTCAGAGTTTTTTATTTTTCTTCCTAACAATTCCAACGAGTAGTAATCGTGAGAGTTGAAAGGATTAGACTCCAGTTGACCTGGTTAGTCTCCTCCTAGATGGATCGGGTCATGAGTACGGAAAATCGGCCTCGGAGACTTGAGGACGAACTCTAAGGTTAAACCTAGGTAGTAATCGTCCCAACAACTCTCATTTCAAAAAACTGCCTCATGTTAAGAAAAATGAATAAAGAGGGAGAAACTTGATCTTATGTCATTGATCTTATTGTTTATATTTGAGTTTGCTTATAGTCCTTTGGTCTTGTTGAAAATATTTGTATTGAGGACAGGGAGTACACATATCACTACAAGAAATTGTCAAAATGCCAACAAAAATTACCAACAAAAATTTTTCCGTTGGGGATTACCAACACATTAGTAATGCATTATATATACAATTTTTATAATCGGATTACCAATAAAATACTAACAAAATATAGCAACGAAAATTATATCTTTGTATTCCGTTGGCAAATAGTGACGGAAATATTCCATTAGTAAATACAAACAAAATACCAATAGAATAGCAACAAACTCTTTCAAAATTGTATTAGCAACGGATTATTTCGTTGGTAAATAGCAACGGATTTTTCCCGTTGGCAAATCGGAATAGCAACGGGCACCTTCAATATTGTATTAGCAACGGATTATTCTGTTGGTAAATAGCAAAGGATTTTTTCCGATGGCAAATAGCATCGGAATAGCAACAATTTCTTTCAAAATTATAATAGCAACAGACTATTTGGTTGGTAAATAGCGACGGATTTTTTCCATTAGCAAATAGCAATGGAATAGCAACGGACACCTTTAATATTGTATTAGCAACGGATTATTCCGTTGGTAAATAGCAACGGATTTTTTCCGTTGGCAAATAGCAACGGAATAACAACAAACTCTTTCAAAATTGTAATAGCAACGGACTATTCCGTTGAAAATTGGTGTGTGACAAGTCCATACTTATTCAATTGGAAGTCTTGATCCAATTCCAAAATTCTGTTTCGCGATTTCATAAAATGCCTATCCGAACTAAATTTATTTTTTTGGGATAAAGTCTTCGTTTGTAGCCAAAGGTCGAGTTTCACTTTGCTCTCCTTACACTATGACCTTTATTGATAAAAGCGCTTTTTAGCTTCCTACATGTGTGGAAGAGCATTGGACGTGTTTTGTTTTGTATGATTCGAGACTGTGGTGAACTCATTTTCAAATTGAATATCGACTATAAGGATCCCGAGGCAAAATGAGATTGGCATGCATTAGGACATGATAAATGAATGACCAAATTTATCTTTTCGAAAGGTTGGCGAGATTTTTTGCTTGAGGACAAGCAAAAGGCTAAGTGTAGTGGAGTTTTTTTGTATGTTTTTGTTGTTATTTTATGTGTTTTTAGTATTTTATTTGTTTTCGTTTTAGTTTATTTTAGTTTTTTCCTGGCTCATTTAGTCATTTTTGTGTTTTTCATGTTGTTTTAGTGTCTTGTGCTTATTTCTCTTTTTATCTTTTATTTTATGGAAATTCGCATTCTGGAGAGTTGCCCCAGAAAATCCCGTCAATTTCCGATGAAAGATACGTCGTTACCGAGACCCACGAGTTGCCGAAACTGCGTGTACCCAAGAGACCCGTATGCCCCTAGGTCGTCTCGAGGAGGCCCGCGCACCAGCACGCACTCGCCCGCGCCAGCTCCCAGGCGTACGTCCCCCCAACAACCCGCGCGCCCGAGGAGACCTGTCTGCGCACTACCCGCCCGCCAGTGCCGAGAAAACCCTGCGTCCGCCCAGCGGTACCTGCTCACCCGCGCACTCGCCCAGCACCGTTCCGGGCGAGATTCTACCCCGAGACCCGCCAGGCTGCGACACGAGCACTCGCCCAGCCCGAGCCTAGGCAAATTTTCCACCCGGGTGTACCAAGTTCATTTCCACTCGGGCAAATTTTTAGGCCAGATTCCTTGATGGGCGAGTGTTTTCCATTAATTGTGTATGTTTTTAGTGTGTGTTTAAGGTTTGAGTATAAATACATTTGTGCCTCTGTATTTTGGGAACCAAGCTATTATTTTCTTAGTTTCCTACTTTAGGAATAGGTTTTTCTCTCATTTGTCTCTCTATTTCTATGTTTGGAGCTCCATGACTTGTGCTTTCGACAACGTTATTTTTGTTAAAATTTTGAGCTTTTCACTTCAATTTTCTTCGAGCATGCAGTAGAAGAGTGAGTACTTAGTTTTAAGATTCATTACTTCGTATTTACCCTGTTTTTACTTATGAAACTTTTCAAAGTGAAATTGGTGTCTTGCATGAGAATTTGGGTAAAGTTTGAATGTTTCTATTTTTCTTTCCTTGTCTAAGTGAATTTAGGAGTTAAATACGTGTTTATCTTGTGTTAAAGGTTGAGATTTTATTCAAAGCTTAATCATTTATATTAGAAGACTCGTTTTAATTGCCTATGAACTTAGTACTAGCATGTTTCTCTTTATTTATTTTCGTTTTTCTTGAGTTGTGGAGACTCCGGGTGACCAAAGTAGTTCGATCTTTTCTATATAGCTTGCACCTTTATTCAATTGCTCTCAGTTCCTAGTTTAAGTTAGCTTAAAATCAATCTCAATCATTCGATTAGCATAGTTAGGACTTTATTTTCTCTTTTTTGTAATTTCGACAACTAATTGGTAGACGAAGCTCCGAATTACCTTCCTCGAGAGACGATCCGAGTGAGATCCTTCGATCGTACTCGGCTAAAAACAACTTAGCATTCTTATTCTCAATGAGTGTTGCTTCTTAAAAAACCAATTAAGATCATGGACAAAGAATAAATAATAAATAAAGTAAAAAAGGATTATTTACTTTCAAATAAACGGGTCATTTCTAAAAAGTTGAAGAATTATTCTAAAGGTATTATTTTACACTATAAATCACAGGTTTGAAACCCGTGTAGACAATGACCCTGGTTGACTTTCATATTACCGATTTTTTCCAAAAAGTTAAGAATGATTCTAAAGGTATAATTTTACACTACAAATCACTGTTTTGAAACCCGCGTAGACGATGACCCTGGTTGGCTTTCATATCACCGATTCTTTCCAAAAAGTTAATAATGATTATAAAGGTATTACTTTACACTACAAATCAGTGTTTTGAAACCTGCGTAGACAATGATCCTGGTTGGCTTTCATATCACCGATTCTTTCCAAAAAGTTAAGAATGATTCTAAATGTATAATTTTACACTACAAATCACTGTTTTGAAACCCGCGTAGACAATGACCCTGGTTGGCTTTCATATCACCGATTCTTTCCAAAAAGTTAATAATGATTATAAAGGTATTACTTTACACTACAAATCAGTGTTTTGAAACCTGCGTAGACAATGACCCTGGTTGGCTTTCATATCACCGATTCTTTCCAAAAAGTTAAAAATGGTTCTAAAGGTATTATTTTACACTACAAATCATTGTTTTGAAACCCGCGTAGACAATGACCCTGGTTGACTTTCATATCACCGATTCTTTCAAAAAAGTTAAGAATGATTCTAAAGGTATTATTTTACACTACAAATCACTATTTTGAAACCCGCATATACAATGACCCTGGTGGGCTTTCATATCACCAATTCTTTCCAAAAATTATGAATGACTCTAAACAAAAAAATCACTGTTTTGAAACCCGCATAGATAATGACCATGGTTGGCTTTTATATCACCGATTCTTTCTGAAAAGCTAAGAATGATTCTAAAGGTATTATTTTAAACTACAAATCACTATTTTGAAACCCGCGTAGACAATGACCCTGGTTGGCTTTCATATCACCGATTCTTTCAAAAAAGTTAAGAATGATTCTAAAGGTATTATTTTATACTACAAATCATTATTTTGAAACCCGCGTAGACAATGACCCTAGTTGGCTTTCATATCACCGATTCTTTCCAAAAATTTATGAATGACTCTATAGGTATTATTTTACACTAAAAAAATCATTGTTTTGAAACCCGCATAGACAATGACCATGGTTGACTTTTATATCACTGATTCTTTCCAATAAGCTAAGAATGATTCTAAAGGTATTATTTGAAACTACAAATCACTGTTTTGAAACCCGCATAGACAATGACTCTGGTTGACTTTCATATCACCGATTCTTTCAACATAGTTCTAAAGGTATTATTTTACACTACAAATCACTGTTTTGAAACCCGCGTAGACCATGACCTTGGTTGGCTTTCATAACACTGATTCTTTCCAAAATGTTAAGAATGCTTCTAAAGGTATTATTTTACACTACATTTCACTGTTTTGAAACCCGCATAGACAATGATACCCTGGTTGGCTTTCATATCACTGATTCTTTCCAAAATTTTATGAATGACTCTAAAGGTATTATTTTACACTACAAATCACTGTTTTGAAACTCGCATAGACAGTAATCCTGGTTGACTTTTATATCACCGCTTTTTTCCAAAAAGTTAAGAATGATTCTGAATGTATTATTTTAAACTACAAATCACTGTTTTGAAACCGCGTAGACAATGACCCTGGTTGGCTTTCATGTCATCGATTCTTTCCAAAAAAGTTAAGAATGATTCTAAAGGTATTATTTTACACCACAAATCACTGTTTTGAAACCCGCGTAGACAATGATTCTGGTTGGCTTTCATACAACCGATTCTTTCCAAAAAGTTGAGAATGATTCCAAAGGTATTATTTTAAACTACAAATCACTGTTTTGAAACCCGCGTAGACAATAACCCTGATTGTCTTTCATATCACTAATTCTTTTCAAAAAGTTAAGAATGATTCTAAAGGTATTATTTTATACTACAAATCACTGTTTTGAAACCCGCATAGATAATGACCCTGGTTGACTTTCATATCACCGATTCTTTCCATAAAGTTAATAATGATTCTAAAGGTATTATTTTACACTACAATCACTGTTTTGAAACCCGCATAGACAATGATTCTGGTTGACTTTCATATCATTGATTCTTTCCAAAAAGTTAAAAATTATACTAAATGTATTATTTTACATTACAAATCACTTTTTGAAACCTACATAGACAACGACCCTGGTTGGCTTTCATATCATCAATTCTTTGCAAAAAGTTAAGAGCATGTTTGTTTATGAAATAATTTGCTCAAAATGAGTTATTTTGATTAACTAGAGTTAACTTTGAAAAGGGTGGTATGATTAGTTGTTAGTGGAATTTTAATAATGTATTAAAATAATATTTAAAATAAAATTATTATTATTGATTTGATGTAAAAGTAGGAGATAAATGATTGAAAATGATAGGTAATTAAAATTATGTGAGTGGATGAATAGTGAATTAAAGTTGATGTGATATGTAAGAATGATTGGTTTATTATATCTAGTTATATAAATAATATTAAGGATAGTGAGGTTGAGTTAGATTTTAAGTATGAAATAAATGTGAGCAAATTATTTCATAAACAAGCATGCCCTAAGAATGATTCAAAATGTATTATTTTACACTACATATCACTGTTTTGAAACCTGCGTAGACAATGACCCAAGTTGACTTTCATATCACCGATTCTTTTCAAAAAGTTAAGAATAATTCTGAAGGTATTATTTTACACTACAAATCAATGTTTTGAAACCCACGTAGACAATAACCCTGATTGACTTTCATATCACCGATTCAACCATTGGATTAATCGCATAACTAAATAATTAATACAAGATTAATAAATTATATATATGAATTTCAATAAAAAAAATAAAAATTATAAGAAAAATGTATTATCTTAAAATCTAATTATAAGAAAAATGAATATCTTAAAATATTATAAGAAATTTACATTCTCAGAAAACCAATACACTAGGTATATAGACTGATCATCAACAAGAACACCAAACTTTTAAATATCATAACAGTAATCCAAAAAGGCCTAAAAAATGCCTGCAACAGAGCAGCATATACGAGTATGACCCTTCAAAAACGATGGCATAAGTTAACACACGAGTTAGGCACTTCAAACTGTGGCAAAGTATTCCCAAAACAAAAATCTACGCCCGCAATCATGGCCATTCATCAAAACCTTACCAGCAAAACCAAAACACATCCTAAATTTATCGTGCAGCTAAGATCGACAAAAGGATACCCATTAGAATAATAAAATAAAAAAAAAAAGAAAAAAAAAAGGCCACTTCATTCCCAGCCACCTGAAGTACCCCAAGTAGTTTCATTGTTGTACGAGCCAGCAGCACCATATGAAGTATCGAAATTCGAGAAATTCACAGCAGCAGGTGGATCAGCTCCCGCATAAGGATCTTCTTCATAAGCAGGCCCATTATTGGCCCAACCTGAATCTTCTTCATAAGAAGGCCCATTGTTGGCCCGACCTGCAGCAGATTTACGCCCACCATATTTTCGGCCACTGCCATTATAATAGTTGTCTTGGGCTGTCTCTGCATACTCATTGAGCCACGAAGGCACTTCCTGCTTTGCTTCCAGCATGAGCTGAATGAGCGACTTTGCAAGAGGAATATTCTTTTCAGAGAAAAAAGCAGTGGCCATCCCAGATTTTCCGGCCCGGCCCGTTCTTCCGATCCGGTGGACATAGTCATCTATGGCTCTCGGAAGGTCAAAATTTATAACATGGGCCACGTGGGGAATGTCAAGCCCTCGAGCTGCCACGTCAGTAGCTACGAGGATAGGAGTTCGGCCGCTTCTGAATGATTTGAGAGCATTTTCTCTCTCCTGCATTTCCAGTGAGGGATTTAGAGAGTTATTAATAGCTTTTTCTTTCATTTCCACTTCAAATGAGATATTTTAACATTTTTTTTTTCTTTTTCCATAATAACTGTTTTTTGTAAGAATTTCAATATGATATGTGTGTGGAATTTGGAACAGTGAGAGGGATTGAATACTCATGGAGCCACCAAATCCAGTCGTGATCGAAAAATATTTAGATTTCAGTGAAGTATACGAATCGTTTGTGTGAATTTTCAAACTGACAATTATGAAGGGACGATGGAGTAGTAGTTGCACAGAGGTAATTTTTACATTTCATAAATACTGTAATACAAAATGTGTTTCAACTCATTCAAGCAAAAGATACCGTAGAGCAATCTGTATTTTTTTTTTTTTTTTCATNTAAACCAGAAGTCATTAGTCATCAACAGAGTACAGTAAAGGAAAGCCAGACTAACCATCTGTACTTTGTCACCGTGAATGACAGTAGCAGGAAAGCCTTTCATGGACAACCACCTCACAAGTGCATCTGCTCCTCTTTTCGTCTCCACAAAGACTAGAGTCAAAACATCCTATGGCAGAAAAATATCAGTCCAAGCTACTTGGAAAAAACATCTAGTAACATAATAGTGAAGAAATACATCACACCTTAGCAGGGGTGCTATTTGTCTTTTGACGACGAAGAATATCAACCAAATAGTTCCGTTTGTCCACGTCAGCCACGAACTCAACTCTCTGAACAATGAGATCGGTACTTGAGCCGACTTTTCCAGCTGCAAGAAAGATGTAGTTCGAGAGAAAATCTGACGCGAGCCTCTGCAAAAAGTGAATTAGTAGAGGATGAGGACCTGAAAACAAAAAATATACCTCACGGGTGCTTTTCTACTGATAACAATCGTAAAAAATAAATAAATAAAAAAGCATAAAATGCTAATGCTAAGGGTGTGATTGGATATAAACTTGACCAATAAAAAACTAATCAAAACTCAAATCTAACTCAACTTTAATTCAACCCTACTATCCTCAATATTATCAATATTATCAAATAATATTCACCAATCATTCTTACACATCACATCAACTTTAATTCGATACTCATCCACTCACATAAATTTAATTAACCATCACGTCCAATCATTTTTCTCCTACTTTTACATCAAATCAACTTTAATTATTTTATTTTAAATATTATTTTAATTTAAATAATTCCCACTAACAACCAATTTCAAAATTAACGATGGT